AAATGAAATGGCTGAATTGCCAGTGTCGGAACGAAACACCGACCCAGCGCACTCCAATGGGAGGTTCACTATCAGCACCCTGATCAGCACTGAGGACAACGGCAGGATGCATTATGGGCAGACAGATACGGCCCCCTACGACACCACCCAAGCCAACCACCTCACCACCAACAGCACTTTCTATATGCGGACCTTTGGCTACAATACAATCGACGTTGTGCCGGCTTATGAACACTATGCCAACACAAAGATCACCAGCGAAACCAAGAATCCCAGACCCACCCTTGCCGATCTGCACTCATTCCTCAAGGTAAAGGCAAACCAGGGTGTTCTCTGATGCCGTGGTGCCAAAATTGTATGACTTTCCCCTAATCTCTCCTCCAAACTTAGTAATATGATGAGCCGGCAGGCAGCATTGACTGTTCTCTATTTCCTGTCCCAGCCATGTATGGTTTGGCAAATGTTTGAAAGCAACCTTTATTTCCCTCGCCCAGGGATATTTCTTCAGGTTCTTTAGCCCCACTGCTTTCCTCTCTTCTCCTGACTCCAAAGGAAAGAACGATGGAGGAATGCAGCTTTTGAATCACAGAGCGGTCCCTTGCCTATCACTTCCTTCCCTGCATTTTGAGAAGGCAGCAGGGAAGTGGATCCAAATTGCCCCAGTTACCAATTACTTCGCTATCATCAGAAAGTTCAGGCTGAGCAGGAGATACATGAACTACACTGAGGGTCTTTGGAGCTTTGTAAGTTTTCCCTCTCATAGCTGAATCTGAACGTGCATCAGTTTAAGATAGGGGTTATAAGGGAACAGTCCCTTTGTTTTCAGTGCCCAGTTTCGTTTCCATTGAACATGAGGGGTTACGATAAAGAGGAGAATACCAATGAGCATATGTAGAGAGCATTCTTTCCCCATTAATAAATCATAGTCAACCCTCTCAGGTCCCATCTTCTGAGATCTCAGGGGATACACCGAACTGAGGTTCCCATCTTGAGGAACCACTAGAATGCTTAGATTTTATTATACTGACAAAGCATTGGGCCTTTGAATCAAAGCTGTCACAGAAGGCAATTCAGGGAAACGTTACCTTTAAACTATGCCTTGACAGAGCTGGGAGTACCAATCCTGCTGCCCCCATATAAAGCATCCCTTGTGAATTTAGCAGTATGCTTCTCTACTTGGTGAGAGTTGAGAGTTTAGAACCCAGGGGGGGGGCAGCTGTGTGAAACATGTACCTATTGTATCAGCTACGACGTGAACCTTTGTATGAAATGGCTTCAGTTCTCCCCACTTGCATTCCAAGCAGCTGTGTTTAAAGCCCTTTTGATTGCCGTCAGATTCCCTCACACTACTGTCTTGTAAGATACTCCAGTGCTAAATTGTGTTCTCAGTCAGTATCTTGTTCTTTGTTATCTTTTCCACCATTGGCTTCCCCCACCCTTACAGCAAGAAAGTATCCATCTCCGCCCTCCAGCATATGAACTTCATAGAGACGATGGCCTTTCTGAAGGAGAGACTGAAGAAGGGGCCAGTGATGGTGCCGAGAACCCCCAGGGCGAGCCTGTTCGTTTTGGGTGGGCTAAAGGGGTGATGGTAAGTTGCCACTTGCAGTGCGGCACAGTGATGTTAGGCCTGCTTGTAAATTTTCTATTTATTTACGATGTGGAAACTCAAATTCTGCAAACTGGATGCATTATGTCAGAGAAATTTAACTCACCTCCTGTACATATGCCAGTGCTGTCAAGGTTCAACCGACTTGTGGCCACCCCAGCCAAGGGCCTTTCAAGGCAAGTGAGAAGCGGAGGTGGTTTGTCATTGCCGTCTTCTGCAGAGACGTCTTCCTTGGTGGTCTCCCATCCAAGTAGACCCTGCTTAGCTTCTAAGATCTGACCAGATCAGGCTACACCATGCTGCCTTTCTCTCCCCCCCCCATCTTCTATAGTATTAACTAAACAGGTAAAACCTTTCCTTCTAGCCTCTGCCCATATGAGATTCTGTATATTCACATACAATAACGGGATGAACTATTCTGTGGGGTTCAAATGTTGTTGTTCTCAATGGTGTGGATTGGCTCTTGCTGGCTTTTCTATTGACAAGAGAGGGAGGAGGGGTCCCTTTTGACCAGCAAAAAAAGCTATGCAAAAGATTGTGGGACCCATATGAACAAAAGCCATGTGGCATAGGGGCTGCAGTGAATAGGGCAGATAGGATCTAGTTGTATTCAACCTTTTTAAAAAAGGGGTTTTATTTTAAAAGCATGGGGGTTTATTAGACCCCCAATACCTTAAATGAAAAAATTAAGCAACAGCTAAAAATAATGACCCCCCTGCAAGAGCTTAAAAGCTTTTATTTCACAACTCAACCACTTATTTTATGTAGCTTTCAGGGGAGCTGTATTGCTGTACTCTTTTACTGTAAGCAATAACTCTTAGTATAATTTTGTGTTTCGTTTCAGTTTGAGACACTGTACAATACAGCATCTCAGGTCTATTTCAAATCAATAAAATTATTTTGGCAAATGTAACAGTTGAATTATTTATTAACAGTTATTTATTAACAGTTTATTATTTATTAATAGTTGAATTATTTATTAACAGTTGAATTATTTATTATTTATTATTTTAGATCAATAAAATTATTTTGGCAACATTAGAGGGCTCAGTAAATTTATCTAACCCTTGAATGATTTATTCCACTTCCAAAGTTCAAATTTCCCTAGTTTTTAACATTTTGTTAAGGGAGGATTGATGGAAGGGAAAGTATAAAGGTTTGGATCTCAGACTGCAGAATGAGAGAGGCAGGGGGAAGAACCATTCAACAAGGAAGAAAGAAGTTATGTGAGGTACATGGAATTAACCAGCATCCCCCAACACCTGGAAGCCATTCTCAGACTTAATCAGACACTATTCATCTTTTCCCAAGTTTCGGTACAGAACTCAGTCAAGAAAATGGCTTTTTTAAAAATCCCAGAATCATCCACAAAGAGCCCTGCTTCCGCTGATGCTAGTTTCCAACAAGGCCAGGTGGAGGTGGCTTGCAGAACGGCTGGAAATTCAGGGCAGAAACAAAGATGGGAGTAAGAGGGCAACGTGAACTGGAGGAAGACAGCCAGAATTAGGATCAGGGAGGAGATGAACCAGGAAACACTATGGTGGTTTCTGGGAGAATCTTTGCTCCCTAAAATTGTTGAGAGGAGCACCATCAAACTGGATTAAAGGATTTAGTGGACCAATCTAGAACTCTCTTGGAGGGTCTGTGAATGCGTAAATTCTGGTGCTTTCTCTTGTCATGCTGTTTTTTAATCTTTAGGAATCCTCCCATGGGAGAATATTTATTCATGTATATATACATCAATGCACGCCTCCTCTACCTCTTCACCCATTTGGATTCTGTCAAACAAGTCCCCCAGTCATTCCCCTATCCTGTATTAATCCCAGGCTGTATCACCAGATCAGTGCAGGGCCTCATAGGTTCAGGCTTTGAAACTTTCTTTCAGATGCTGACTGTATTTATCCTGATATCTGAGCTACTTCCCTGTTTCTGAGGTTTTGTCCTGGCTACATCTTAGTGATTCTGTCCAGCTATTGTTGTTTCCCCTTCTAGATTCGGTGCATGCTTAATATTTGGGGTGTCATTCTTTACCTGCGGCTGCCGTGGATCACTGCACAAGCAGGGATAGGTAATGTACCTTTAAACAACTTATATACTCGTATACCCGAACAGTGAAATCAGGAGGGCACTGACTCCAGTGTAAACCATTCTAGGGTCATAAATGTAATCCCTTACAAACACTGCTAGTCCTAATATATCAGGGGAAACTAGGATGATAAATGCCTCCAGGCAAAGATACCCTCAATGTGCCTTGCAAACAGAATTGCAAAAGATTTTTTTTTAAATCAAATTTTCCAAACTATGTCCCATGGAAAAACTATTAACTTGCCATGAGAAAATAAATTAATTACCGGTACAAATTTAGACCAAATTGCTCACTCACAGAGAAGACTGCCTCCTGCATCTCTGCTTGATTTACTGTTCTGTACTTGCCTCCCCCCAACTGGTCTCTTTTAAGGGGTGGGAAATTCTACTGCCCTGAATCGTTCAGTCACTCAGTACTACAGACGCATAGCAGCATTACCACCCTTGGGGAGGTTGCCTGTTATATCTCTGTATGATTCACAGATCTGGTGTTGCCTATCTCCCAAGCAGCATATCCTGGGTGCAGGATGAATCAATTACTTTTGATGCAGCAGAAGTCCAGAACAGGGATTCATGCAGAAACACAGAGGGCAGGCTCTTTTGGGTCAGGTACTTTGTATTCTGACATATTCTGCAACTAAATCTTTTCAGGAGCAAGAGTTTATCTCCTATTTTAATTCAGGAAAGGTATGCCTCAGATTTCAGATTCATGGGAAATACTGAAAAACCTCCTGCTCTGATATGGCAGAACAAAGCAAGGATTGGCTTTTTGCTTTGGAGAAGAGGAAGCTGTGGGGAAAGCATCCAGAAACACATCAGTGGGGCCCATAGCAATGATGGGTGTCATATAGGGAAAAATTTGGTGTAACCGAGTTTATACTATATACTGTAGTATAATGTAAAATAATTACTTTTCTCCACAGCACTGACATGGGTGATCATAATGTTGTCTGTGACAGTGACCACCATCACCGGGCTTTCAATCTCAGCGATTTCTACAAATGGCAAAGTCAAATCAGGTAGTATTTTATGCCTAGCTGTAGAACTTGGCAAAGTTCCACAGAATGTCTCTCTCACGCATGGTATGTCTTCCTTTATGATCACAAACATGCTTTTAATAATGGTATTTTTATCTGGCCTGTCTTCTCATGAAAGTTCAAGGAATTCTTTAGGGTTTCCCATCTGATGCTGTCCAAACCCACATTTGCTTAGCTTCAGCAAGGTGATTTCATTCTGTCTTCAGACAATGTCATGAGACCACTATTTTAATAAGATCTGTATGTGCCGTTAAGTCACAGCCGAGTTATAGTGACTCCAGCGAGAGGCTTTCAAGGCAAGAGAAGCAGAGGTGGGTGGCCATTGTCTTCCTCTGTAGAGCCTTCCTTGGTGCCCCCCACCCAAGTACAGATCCAGCTTAGCTTCCATGATCTGATGAGATCAGGCTATAACATACTATTCCACATGTAATAGGAACTGTGCCTGGCCCAGAATTTGAAACACAAGTTTCTTTCAGCTTGCAGAAAAGGTAGAAAGGATCTTCAAGGATCTTCTCAACTATTTCTGAGATAGGGAGGGAGGTAGATGGATACTAAATTATCCCTAAATGTTTCCTTAACTGCCCTCTCCCCTTCCTAGGAAGCCCCTTGGGAGGAGGTGGGTGTGCAAACAGGCATATTTCATAACTGGGCGCTACCTAGTAACTGGTTCTCCTTTTTACCACCACCAATACCAGCTCTTCACACCTTACAGAATTCACAGATTGTGTCTGGGGTCCCCACCCTGGGTAACAGTCTCTACTCATATACTTGCTGTGCCCATTTCAGATTGTGACCACAGCATGTTTAGAGAACAAGGTAGGCTTGATGGGTGAAGTTTGGAGTATTACCCTTTTTTTTTGGGGGGGGGGATGCCTGCTGCCACTGATTTTAATCGGAAAATTTTCAGTTCTTAAAAAAAGAAGCTCTTGTTCTTTCAGTGCAAATGCAACACATTTTTCTGATTATTATTTTTTTGTAAGGCAAATCAGTGCTTCAGCTGGAGTGTTCACTCCCAGGCCCCACTTTGGCTATGTTCCTTTCTCTTTACCCCATTTGTGGTTTGTCCTGTTGTTATCCTTGTGCTAGTTCCAGGGCCCTTCTTCAGAAATAGGTTGGTCATTTATTTAGATATTTATACCCTGTTTTTCTCCACAGTGGATACCTGTAGTGCCTTATAACATCACTCTCCCCTACCTCCATTATTATCCTCACAACAATCCTCCGAGGAAAGTTAGGCTGTGAGAGGGTATGACTGGCCCAATGTCACCTAGTGAAACTCCATGGCAGTGTACGGATTTGAACTTGGGTCCCTGAAATCCTAGTTCAATACCATAACCACTGTACAACGTGGGATAGGGAAGAAAATGAGAGATCACCCATCAAGGCTCCAGAAAGCTTGGAAGGGGCCTTCATGTAGCTCTTGCATATCAGTACCCTGACATCAAAGTGGTCAATGCAATCCCCAGAAACAAGGTGTGGGGTAACTGGATCGTTGAAACTGAAGTAACGGTTTTCAAATTCTTATCTGTTAGGTGGGACCTATTTCCTTATTTCCAGAAGCCTTGGGCCTGAGCTGGGAGGCTCTATCGGCCTCATCTTTGCTTTTGCCAATGCAGTAGCTGTGGCCATGCACACCGTGGGCTTTGCAGAAACAGTGCGGGACCTTCTTCAGGTGAACATTGAATGATCATGTGTGGTGGTAGCTATACCTTCCTTTGTCAAAAAAGTTTTAATATTTATTTATTGTGAATTGATTTGATGCTGGTACACCAAAGCCCAATCAATGCTCTATTTGGTAAGGCTTGCCAGTTCCAGTTTAGAAAATTCCTTGAGATTTTATTATCATAGACTCCACCCTCCAAAGCAGTCATTTTCTCCAGGGGAAGTACTATCGGTAGTCCGGAGATCAGTTGTAATTTTCAGAGATCTCCAGGTCCCAACTGAAGGATGGCAGCCCAATATTAGGTTGGAGTATTATTTCCAAGACTTAACATTTCATTTCGCCAAATACTAGTAAGACTTTTTTTTAAGGCTTAGCCATACCTGGACTTTAAACGCAGAGTCAAAAGGTTCCAGGAGGGTTGTCATAGTAGTCTGTGGCAGCAAAATGAAACAGGGCTCCAGTGGCACCTTAAAGACTATTGATTTATTTCCTTCATTTATACCCAGCCTTTCTCCCCAGTGAGGATGAAAAGCAGCTTACATCATTCTCCTCTCCTCCATTTTATCCTCATGAGGTAGATTAGGCTAAGATTATATGTGTCTGGCCCAAGGTCATTCAGTGAGCTACCATGGTAGAGTGGGACTCAAACCCGGGTCTCCCAGATCCTTGTCTGATGCTCTAACCATTATACCATGCTGATGGTCAACAAAATATATTCAAGGATAAGCTTCCATGAATCAGGGCTCACTTCATCCAAATAAAAGGGTAACCCAATAATCACTGCTCAGAGGCATTGTATGGGGGAAAAGACATTCCCCAATGTCAAGGCACATGGGAGAAATGTGTCCTTTTGGTCTTTGGGACCTATTCAGAATTGCATGAGGACAGTGATGATGCATTGTCCTCCTCTTCTGGGGCCAAATGGAAAAGCATGCCCCTGTAGAGTTAATGCTGAGCTTCTGTGCATGACATCCTTTCCTGCGATTTTTAGCAATGGGCTGACAAAAAGCCCCCCCTCCCCAAATGTGAACTACTCTTCAATACGTATAGGTCGATTTCACATTACCTTGTTAAACTGCATGGCTTCTGTTATTGACCCATCATGGAGTAAACCAGTACAGGGATGGCTGTTTCACACAGCATTTTTTTTCCAGCAAGGAGCTGTCTCTGAAGTGGTGTGTCATTTCAAACTGCACCACTCTCTTTTCCCGCCATTTTCCCTCACGTGCACGATCTTCCTGAGAGGGGTTTTTAAAAAACATTCTATTGGGAGCGGTGCACTATGGTGCTGAAGCAGGATCACAAATCAGTGCCATAGCAACTCCCTTGAGTTGCCTGGACTCCATTTAGATACACTGAGACCGATTTCCCACAAGCTGCTGCTCCGCGCTCACTCTTCCCTTTGCCCCGATCATACATGTCAATTTCACACTATGTGCTGCGCCACATTTTGCCCTGCAGCTTCACCCGATTTCCCTGTGTCTACTCAATCTTGTTTTTTTGAGGACTGAGTAGACGCGAGGGAAATCAGGTGAAGCTGTGGGGCAAAATGTGACCGCCGCAGCACATAGTGTGAAATTGACACGTACGATCGGGGCAAAGGGAAGAGCGAGTGTGGAGCAGCAGCTTGTGGGAAATTGGTGTGACATTCACTACCACTGTCACCTGGAAACAAAGAGCGTGTTGTGGAGGGGGGGGAACTGGACAGTTTTGAAACCCAGGAAGCTTTCCTTCCTTCCTTAACTCCCACAAACCATGGAGTGTGTGTGCTTGAGTGTGTGTGCCTGAGTCTACACTTCCTCTAAAGCAAACTTCTTAAAAACCGACCAAACTTCTGTCTCACCATTCACTTATGCCCCTGATCTCCCACTTAAACACACTGTCCAATCAGGTATTTGTTTCCAGGTGACAGCAGTAGCAAATGTCAATGTATCTAAATAGAGTCCAGAGATCTCAATGGAGTTGCTATGGTGCTGATTTGTGGTCCTGCTTCAGCACCACAGCACTCCCAATAGAACATTTTTTTAAAAAAAATAAGACAATTGCGCACAGGGAGAAAAGGGGCACAAAAAACCCCATCATTGCAGGAAGCGCTATGGGGCATTTTATACAGCACTCCTTAGCACTTCACACGTGGTAGGAAGGATTGAAGATTGGAAGAAAGCAGTTTGAGTCAACAACACTTCAGGCACTGTTCCCGAATGGGACAGAAGCGTGTTTGTCTGAACAGGTAAATATATTCCATTAGGAACCAGTTACTAAAATGGGTCTGTCTGAAATGACATAAGAAACCCGTTAGTAACCAATTCCTGAAATGGAATGCACAGGCTGTCTGAAATCAGCCATAGTTTCAACCAGCTTCTCTTCAGACAACCCCAATTCAGCTCAGGGCAATGGTAGTGCCTTGGCAAATTCTTCCTCAACCCTGTAGCTATTCCCCTGCTTCCCAGTCTTTTTACTCTCCCCTGAAAGAACCATCTAGCCAGGTCTCCCTTTGCCCTGTTGCTAAGGCAACACCTCACAGAGACTCTTCTCAATCCCCCCTTCTTAAAGGCTGTACTTATTATCACTTATGGCTTCAATTTAAATAAATGCACATGTTACTGAAACCTCAGAATCGGGACCTCTTGAGAATGAGGGAAGGATAAGGAATTCAAAAGATCTAAAAGAAGAAAAAAAGCCCTGCTGCATTAACACACCAGAGCCAAAATAGCTTCCAAAAATGAACAAGTATTTGTTTAATTCACACATGTACACAGACATAGTTAAAATATGTTTCTACCAATTAACCAACTTACAGGACAATATTAAGCAGGTACACTCAGAAGTCAGTGCAGTTTTATTCAGTGGGCCTTACTTCCAAGAAAGTATTCTTTGGATTGCAGCCTGTAACTTTGTCAAATTACTATATCAGTTAAATGGATGAGTGCCTGAGGCCTTAATATGTATATATAATATATACAGATAAACTAGATTATAGGAAGTGGCTACTTTTTGCCTAATGAAATAGCTAAGGTGAGAAGATATAACAGCAATGTTTAAGCAATTAGTGGGGAAAGATATGCAATTTGAGATGTATGAATATGTATATTTACATTTTTGGTTCACTTTTGTCCATGATGGAGAAGTCCATTTTTGACCAGCCTATTTGGGGGGGAGTGGGGGGGAGTTTCACATTTTCCTTCTTTCTTTCATTAGTTTTGTTTGTTCTTACGGGGTCATTTCATAGAAAAAGAGGTGCAGGAGCTCATTAGCGTAACTAATTAGCATAACTTATTTGCATATACCACACCCCCTGACATCACCGGAAGTATGTCAGAAGGCAACACCCACTGCTCAGGCTCCACCCCAAAAATCTCCAGGTATTTCCCAACTCAGAGCTGACGAGCCTACCTGGAGGCTTCAGCACAAAGAAAATAGTCAAGTTCAGGGGATGTACATTGGTCTCCCCTCCTCTATTTGGGCCTCACAATGCCCCTTAGAGGTAGACTAGGCTGAGAGAGTGGCTTGCCCACCATCACCTAACAATCTTCATAGTGCAGTCAGGTATTTGAAACTGGCTCTCCCAGATCCTAGCCCAAACATCTGACCACTACACCCACAGGGTCTCCCAATAGCTCCAGGCTACACTCCGGCCACCAGAGAAAGTGCAAACAAAGGGCTCAGAGGTTCAACATAACAGATTGATTTGAGACGAGTGTGCAAGGAAAGTGGCAGAGGGGGGAAGGCTGGTCTTCTCTTGCTAAGGTAGAGGTGATGCAGTTTCAGCTCTTGGATCTCTGGCTAGTGACGAATGCCAGAACGTCCTCCTCCCTCCACCTTTACTTTCTGGGAGGGGGAGAAAGAAGCAAGCAGTTTGCCACTGCTCATTCTCTTTCCAATGGCTGGGGCTTGTCTTCTACTTACCACAATGGGGGTGGGGATGGGCAATGTTCCCTCTAATCTTTTTCCCTTCTACTGAGTGGAGCAGTTCACATCCTAAGCAAAATGTAACTGCTGTAATCTTAATTACCTCTGCAGGACAGATGGCAAAGTTTAAGTGTTTTTACTCCCCCATTTTAAAAGCACTATGTGCCGCTCCCAGATCAAAATGCACAAATATCTAGTAGAATGAGTACTGAGAGAGGAAGATTTCTCCAGTCAACTTGTGCAGCTTTCTGCAGATGGGCAAGCATCTCCTCTTGAACTTCTGCCTGCTGCATATCTTTTAAGGGCCTGAAGGACCCACAAAAAGGTGGTAATCTTTATAATTACAATTAAGGATGTGCAGTTAACACCTCACAAGAAAAAGCAGAAAAAAGTCTTATGGGAAAAAACAAGTATACTGAACACATACCAATCAAACGGTACAGAGATATGGGGATGGCTTTGATTCCGAAGTTTCAACAGAACTTTTTTTTAAAGGATGAAATGCAACAGCTATTCAGTTTCCAAATCTAAATAGGCACTGTAAAAAATAAAATAAAAATCACATTTCTGCTTTCTCTAGCATATGCCCCCAATCTAAACATACTGCCAAACACTTGGGATTCTCAAGGAGCAACTGAGAATGCAGTCTTACAATTTATTTATTTATTTATTTATTTATTATATTTATACCCCGCCCATCCCGCAAGCGGGCTCAGGGCGGCTAATACTGCGGTACGATGTACCTAATTAACATACATAAGACTTAAAACTCTATAAAATATCATAAACAAGTACTTTAAAACATGAATTAACAATTTCTACTAAAGTGATAATGAAAGCTTGTATAACAGTTTTAGGGACAAGGAAAGGATAGGTTAAAGGTGTCTTACCTCAGTGGTATGCAAGGGTCCGCTAAGTTAGCTGACGTTTTCTGTTTCCTGTGGATTCCCATATTTGGGGTTGCTCCAAGCAGGCTTGCAAAACACTGAAGGCTGAGTTTCTTTTCTTAGGAATACAATTCTCCTATCATAGACCCCACAAATGACATCCGCATTGTTGGAGTTATCACCGTGACTGTGCTGCTCGGCATTTCCTTGGCTGGAATGGAATGGGAAGCTAAGGTGAGAAGTTCTTTCTTATATAAACAAAGGGGAAGAAACCAAAGCTGATCCGGTTGGGAATTCCAGGCAGGTAAAAAAGTCTCCAGCATTCTGCCCCTCACCTCTTCAAACACCTTCCCCAAACCCAGTTTTTAAATGTCCGAGGGAGCCTTCATCCCCTTTGTTTCATCCCCTTCATCAGCTCCTTGCTAATTATCTGAGCGGGTACAGGCTTGACTTACTTTAGGTCCAGTTGTGGTGATCCTGCCATTCCTTGAATCAGACCAGGGCTTGACTTATCAGTGCTGGCCCCACCCCTTCTTCAAATGTGTGCTGTGTTGCTGCAATGTTTGCTGGACCAGAATTTCAAAAGAAGTATGTTTCTCTGTGTGTTGGAGGCAGAAGTCATTAGTGGACAGCTGCCTACTTAGAGCACATCCTAATTTTGAGGGGTGTGTATATTCCCCCACTTAGAGCACATCCTAATTTTGAGGGGTCTGGAGTATATTTTTCCTCCCCTTTTATTATACTCCTGAAAATAAATGTTGCTGTGTTACCTGTGTTGTGCTATGAATACCTTCAAAGCACACAGTTCCTCGTGTGCTTATGATGCCATCACACACTGCTTTTCATATTGTCCACACCTATGACATTGGTCTATCAAGGTCTGTATGAACTGGAAGCGCTCCAAAGTTCCCAGCTGAGATCTTTCACATTACCTACATTCTTTCAACAGGAAACGCCAGGGACTGAACCTAGGACCTTCGGATCGTAATGCAGATGTTCTACCACTGAGCCGTAGCCCTTCCCCTGGATCAATACAGTTCTCACGCTATATTTGCTTGGTCTTGCAGGCCCAGGTTCTCTTCTTCATCGTCATCATGATCTCCTTTGTAAACTATGTTGTTGGGACAATAATTCCGGCAAGCGTGGAGAAGCAAGCAAAAGGATTCTTCAGTTACAGAGGTAAGCAGCTGCTGGCATGAATGCTTGATGCAGAGGAGAATCTTCGTGCATTGCAAGCCCCCAGAAAAGGTACTATGACAACTAAGCAAAAGAAACGCAAAGGCCCCATACGGCTGAGGTAGCTGGTGAGACTGTCAAGTCAACAAATTAAAGTTAATTGCTCCGCTGAGCAATAGCCTGGATGGCCCAGGGTAGCCCAGTCTCATCAGATCTTGGAAATTAAACAGGGTTGCCCCTGGGTAGGACTTGGATGGGAGACCACCAAGGAAATCCAGAATTACTACTCAGAGGCCCCGGTCACACGGCAAAGTTGCTGCGGGAGAGGCACGGATGGTGGGTGGATTATCCGGGCACGATCACACCCCAACAGCTGGGAAGTGGAGCGCACCCGTGGCTTACTACCGACAATGCGCCTTTAAAAACTAGTACCTCCAAGGTACTAGTAAACATTTGCCATGGGTTGCCTCCAGACGCCAGTGGTGTGATCGTGCTGGCGCGCAGCATTCTCCTCCGGTCCCTCGTTTACCCGCCAGCGCCGAGGGAAGGACCCATGGTGTGCCACTAGCGTGGCTGATCGCGTAATCACGGATCAAACTGCGCCGGGGCAATTAGCCATGCCTCCCCCCCACGATATCCGGCCCATGTGACCGGGGCCAGAGGCAGGCAACGGCAAACCACACTGAAAATCTCTTGCCTATGGGGTCGCCATAAGTCAGCTATGACTTGATGGCACTTTACACACTTTAAACACACACACACGCAAGCAAACAAGCAATAGCAACAACAAAACACTTCCATTTTCCACCACAACCCCATTCCAAAGAGTTCACCAAATCCTAAGAACAAAAAATCCTACAAGACAACAGATCTACTACTCCACATCAGGTCCCTGGGGAGGAGAGAAAGAAGCTGCACCCCAAAAATGCTTTAGCTGACTTCCAGCAGTCTCTGTTCACTTTTCTCTTTACCAAAATCTAAACTACTTTTGTTCATGCAGACACTTGCCTGCTCCATCCCTACAGCTGGGGGTGAGTCACCTCTTCCAAGTCTTGGTGGGTTCTTGGACAGAGCCAATTCCCAACCTGTCTTCTTGTTTTAAAGAAAAATAGGAGGGGTGGCGGTGAAGCCTTGCTAGTACATTGAGGAAAATACCATGAAAAAGTATGGTTAGCCTGAACTCGCTACAAGCATAAACTGTTTCTTCTGTTGCAGCGGATATATTTGCTCAAAACTTTGTGCCCCACTGGCGTGGGCCTGATGGCAGCTTTTTTGGGTTGTTTTCAATCTTTTTCCCATCTGCTACTGGCATCTTGGCAGGAGCCAACATTTCAGGTGATTTGAAGGTAGGAGTTGCTGGCAGGGGCCCCCAGGGAAAGGTGGGCTGGTGTACACCAATGGGGTCTCATGGGCCTCCCCGATGGCTATGGGCATGCACATGGCAAACCAGGGAAGAGAAGACAGTTCAAATGATCCGTATGCCTGCTGTTTCTGACACGTGCAGCTGGACTTTCATGGAGATGGACTGTACCCATTGTTTTATAATATATCTGTTTACAAGCAGGGGACCCATAAGGATTTGCAGAGGGCATCTCATTTCTCTTCCACCACTATTTCTTCTTTCTCTTCCCTGAAAGCCCCCACAGCCTCTCCTCTTTTACTGCTTTCTTCCCTCCTTCCCACCTATTAGACAACCTACCTCCCCCTCCATCTTCAGCTTTCCCTCCTTCCCTCCCCAGCACTCTCTGCCTGGGAAAACTATGGACCAGTTGTGCAGTACTAGGCATGAGGCCAGGCCCAATTGTGTAGTGGGGAACCTGCAAGGACTTGTGAGGGGCACCTCATTTCCCCATGTATCCCCATCCCCACTGTAATGTATCCAGTCCAGACCGCGTGGCCAGCTTGGGTTCCACGCGGTCAGGCACAAACGTCGAGACAATGGACAATGGACTATGCGGATCCTAGCCCACTCCAATCAGGGGGCCAGGTTCCCAGCCAAGAGCCTATGAGACTCTCGGCCATTGTAAATAACCTATTGGGAAGTGGGGGGGTGTTTTGGGTGGCGGTTTCTCAGGGAATATAAGCCGGCCTGCGAGCCAACCAAAGTCGTCTTGTTCCTGATCAAATAAAGTACGCTTTGCTGCAATCACTCTCCGTCTGCGTACATT